CACAAGAGTGATATCCATGGCGCCAATTTATAATTGTAACGGATAATATTTGAATTAAAACGTTTTTAAAATATATGCGCACTCGGGTAAAACCCGGGCGTTGCCCGGGCCATTCGTCTAGTATAATATAAAACATATAATCTATATATATAAAAATGAATGTATGTGTGTGTGTCTGTTTGTTTGTTTGTCCTTTATGCCTGACCAAACCACTCATTGGATCGCCATGAAACTTTGGGAAGTTATTTAGTATAGTACTGGGAAGGTTTCTAGCAAATAAAATTTTTGAAATAACTTTTCGCCTAGAAATAATCAAGATAAATATTCTAATTTATCTGTTATAATTCAACAATCTGCTCTAAATATTATCATGATGATACGATGATTTTGTAATGTAGAAAATTAGGAAAGACAAAATTCAGGATGACACGGCAATTTATTTGAGACAAGAATAATGATACAATTCAAAGGCAAGATACTATTCCTTTAACTTCCAATTACCGAGGGAACCAATTAATATTGAATTTATTCAACTTATCGAGTATTTTTCAAGGGACCGGGAAAAAATGTTCACCATATCGAGAGATTCGTTAAACAAACCTTTACTCGAGTAAAACCCGGGCGAAGCCGGGTACATCCATACAAGAATAATGATACAATTCCAAGGCAAGATACTATTCCTTTAACTTCCAATTACCGAGGGAACCAATTAATATTGATTTTTTATTCAACTTATCGAGTATTTTTCAAGGGACCGGGAAAAAATGTTCACTTTATCGAGATATTCGTTAAACAAACCTTTACTCGGGTAAAACCCGGGCGAAGCCGGGTACATCCATACAAGAATAATGATACAATTCCAAGGCAAGATACTATTCCTTTAACTTCCAATTACCGAGGGAACCAATTAATATTGATTTTATTCAACTTATCGAGTATTTTTCAAGGGACCGGGAAAAAAATGTTCACTTTATCGAGAGATTCGTTAGACAAACTTTTACTCGGGTAAAACCCGGGCGAAGCCGGGTACGTCCGCTAGTATATAATATATAAAACTTACCGATTTAAAAGTCTATTTTATAATTTTAGATTGTATATAAGAAACATATTTTCATTTAAGTATTGTACTTTATGTAAAAAAGATTAAATAATTGTGCAAAACGGTATAAAATATATATAATATAATATATATAATATATATAATATAACGGTATAATAAGGGTATCAACATATATAGTCACGACCCTCTTTCCACCGTCAATTCCTCATGTCACGGATGCGCGCGCATCATCATTATGATCATTATCATTATCTAATGATAATAATAATAATTATTATTATTTTATTATTATTATTATTTTATTATTTTATTATTAATATATATAGTCACGACCGTCTTTCCTCAATTCCTCAATTCCTCATGTCACGGATGCGCGCGCTTCATCATGATCATTATCTTCTATAGAAGCTTCTATCTTTATAATTATGTATATTTACAAAAAGTCAATTCGCTCGCGCCTCTAGC